AGTATTAAAGCATGTTTAGACGTAGAACCACCATTTCTAATAACATTTTTCCTCTTTCAAATTGATCAAATAATGAAAGAAGGGATTGCCTTAAGCAAGGATTTTAATTTTGAGCAACAAGTAGCATTCCACCATGAATCAATGACTTGTCTAAGGTGTATTAGGGTTCTTTGTATTCCAGCAGCTTCTGCAAACAGTTTCCAGACACTCTTGAACATAGAACATTGAATAAAAAGATGATCAACAATTTCTGGAACTCTAGTATCACAACAACAACATTCAACTTCATTAGTGATCTTCATTCTTACAAGAACTTCCCCTATAGGTATCCTCATATGCCACAACCTCCACATTATAAAAGAAATTTTGAAAGGAATACCTTTCTCCCAGATTTGCATTATGTTCTCCTTCCTCTCTTGTCTTTGTCTAACTAGTTCCCAGAAACTACCAAGTACCAACTGTGAATTTATCATTTTCTGTAGGTATCCACTAGGCTTTATCTCTTTCATCTAATATTTGCCCTCTACCCAAAGATTTTTGAATATGAGAACACACCTCCTTTGAAAAATTATCATGTAGCATGTCAATATTCCAACCCTTCTCATCAATAAGCTGATGTACCTCCTCAAAGTGTTTCTAAACTTGATCAATAGGAAGATGAAAATACAAAGGACCTAGTTAAGTCCAGTTATCAAACAAAACACTGACTTGCCCAGCTCTAGGTTCCCACCAAATTTCTTGGTCAAAATAGTTCCTAGCTATTAACATCAACTTCCAGACCTGGGAACCCCCTCTGCATTCCACTATCTGTGGACTATGTCTCTTGCAATACTTTTTCCACATAAAATTGAACCAAAGAGTATTGTGATTCCTAAAATTTCACCACAATTTAGAAAATAAAGCCTTGGAAATATCAAACAGGGATTTAAAACCCAGACCGCCTTCTGCTTTAGGGAGAAAAATATCATTCCATCCAATCCAACGCGTAGCTCTGCCCTCTTCCTTGAAATTCCACAAGAACTTTGCAAATATTCTGTGAATATCATGTATAACACATTTTGAAGGACTCATAACTGATAACAACAGGTATATGGGGATACTTTGAAACACATATTTAATTAACACTACCTTACCTCCAAAAGAGAGTAACTTCCCTTTCCAAACCTGTAGTTTGGTCTAATCTTTTGATGAGTTCAGAGAAATTAACCTTCTTCTTTTTAGCATGTCTAATAGGACATCCTAAATACATCATGGGAAAACTGCCTCTCAGAAAACCAGTAACATCCTTCATTTCTTGAACCACAGAATGAGAAACCTTACTAATTATATAAAAGAAACTCTTTGCTTTATTTATCAGTTGACCAGACTGAGATTCATAAAGAGAGAGAGTTTTCATTATTAATTACAGAGATCTTTTATCAGCATTAGCAAAAATAATAGTATCATCTACATAGGCCAAATGATTGATTTGATCACTCCACTTAGGTAATCCATACCTCTTAAACTCATGATTATAAAACAAGTGATTACTAGCTTTGGATAGCACCTCAGCAGTCAAAATAAATAAAGCGGGGGATAGAGGGTCTCCTTGCTTTACCCCTCTAGTACAGTGAAAAAATCCATGTGCTTGTCCATTCACTAATACAGAGTACCAGTTATTAGCCACTAATCTCCACACCATGTCCATCCATCGTTACTCAAAACCCATCTTTTCTATAACTTTAATAAAAAATCTCCAATCAAGTCTATCGTAGGCACTGTCATTTCTAATTTAATTACCACATTAGTAGGTTTACCTCTTTTTCTGATATCAGCAATAATTTCTTAGGCCAGTAACACATTTTCAGTAATACTCATGCCTTTATCAAAACCATACTGATGAGGAGAGATTAAAGAAGGTAACAACCCTTCTAACCTGTCATGAATCAGTCTAGAAATAACTTTGTTAATAAAATTACTCAAACTAATTGGTCTAAAATCAGAAAAGGATCGAATGATATCTTTTTTTTGGTAATAGGATCAAATTTGTATGAGTAATAGACTTCGGTAATGTAGAACCTTGAAAAAAGGCATGCACCACCTTAATAACATCAGGACCCACAATACTCTAACATTCCTGGTAGAAACAGTTTATAATTCCATCAGGTCCACATGAACTCTCAGCATTTAGTTTAAACAATAGCTTCTTGATCTCCTCTTCTCCAGGTATTTCCCAAAGTTTGTAGGAGCTCTGGTGTTAAAGTAGGCATGAGTTGAAAAATAATTCTTATTTTTAAAGATGGAGTAGAAAGATAATTAAAAATATGATTGAAATTTTATCTCCACATGTATGTAGTATTTCAGGCCTTTTTTTTTTTTGCAAAAAAACTCTTCAATTCACTATCATCAAATTGGTTGCTACTTGATCTGAACCTACTTTTAATCAGTCTTCGACCTTGTCAGTCATTGACTTGATACCACTTGGTTGCTATTTTAATATAATTTGGTCGTGACCTGCATATTGGAAAACTATTAGTAAAATGCATAAAATCAATTGAAAGAATAATATAGCCTTAAATAAAATTTCTTAGCGACTTCATTATGGATGTTATTGTGTTTTGTCACGAGAATAAAATATTTTCTATGTATAGAAGTCTAAAACTTTTCTCTAAGAAAAAGATTAACCAAATGTGGAAGAGATCTTTTCCACAAAAAGGTAATTCAAATAACTAATGATAGAAAATCAAAGCAAACACTAACAAAAAGCTCAAAAACTTCTTTAGTGTCATTAAAACTTCTGGTAATTTGCTAAGCAATTTTAATTTATTCTTTACGAATTACTAAATTTTTGGACAAAATACATATAATTTTTTGGAAATATGTATATATGTAACTTGTTTATATATATATTATTTCATTCTTTGCTTAAAGAGTAATTGATTTGGTAATTTTATGTTGAAATATAGTTAACTTAATATGTGTTTGAAAGTACAGCATCATATATTTTATAAAAATGGACAAAAAAATAATAAATCGAAAAACATGACAAAACCAACAAAAATCTAATAAATCGTAACCCAACAAAATTGACAAAACCGAAATGATTAAAAACTAACTTAATTGATTGGTGTAGATCCAACATTTGGAAAATCAACTCAATTGACCGGCTAAGATGTCTCAAAGCATGCCCTAATGCTTTAAAATATGATTAGTTGGTAAGATATGGTTCGCCTACTTGGGTTAGTGTGGATGTCAATCACGGCAGTTTAGATCATGACAAAATTGGTATCATAATTTTAGGTTTGTCGAACTCAATGTACAAGAACATGTCTCATAAAGTCCTATGGAATGGTACATAGACATATGTTTTGCTCTACGAGAGGCTACAAGACATTAAGAAAACTCAATTCTTTCTTTTCTTTATGTTATTACTTGATTCCAATTGGTATCTGATAATCCAAATGGATATCTAACACTTTCACGCTTTTCTCTTAGAAATGGTGAGAACATAATCAGGAGAAGCTAGATCTATGACAGTTGTTAAGGCCATAATACATAATAGGGGATGAGAGGATCAGATGATTCGTCAAAGGTCTGAATGTGGGACTTTAGTTAGCAGCACTCCTGATAGTGTCTTTTGGGAAGACTTTTCAGGAAGTGGTAGAGCATGTGAGGAAAACTGAATTCCTTCTTTCCTTCGTACCATTATTATTTATTCCAATTGGTATTTGGCAATTCAAATATATATTTAAATTTTTCAATTTTTTTCTTAGAAATGGCGAGGACATATTTGGGAGAATCCAAATCTAAGACATCTGATTCTACCATTGTGGTCATATCTCATGATAGAGATGTGTTAGAGGAGGCTTTCGGGGTAGGAAATGAGAAGCAACCATATCCATGGACAAATATGAAACAGATCAGAGCCTCTCGCACCTTTAGAGGCTCCTGAAAAGCAGAAGAAGAGACATAGGCACCATTTTAGGAAAATGTTGCACCCGCTCCAACTTCACTAGATATGTTAAATCATGTGATAATTTTGCTGGGTAGTTTGAAAGAGACTGGGGCAACACTTACAATTCCCACAAGGCAGTATCCAGGAGTTAAGCATGTGGTTATGGCTCTACAGATGGACAAGATTTTTTTAAAAAGGTGTTTTTTAGACCGATGATTGGATCAACAATGATTGGAGATGAGCATGATCTATTTTTGGAGGTTCACTAAAATGAAGCGAATTTATCATTGATTGTCATGAGAAGCTTCATAAGATGGGAGAGGAAGAGATATGGGATGGAGTTTGTCACCTTTCAGCTAGTGGATGGGGTGGTTACACAGCAGATAGAGATGGTATCCATCCTATTCGAGATGATGGTCAGGCCAGCAATACTTAGCTCAGTTGAGGCAATTCGTAGGCAGGAGGTCAGACTCACTTCTCTGTTTTTTTTCGGGCACACATGAGGCAGAAGTGTCTGATGTAGTGATCACAGGTATTATTCTAGTCTATGATTGAATGGATACATCCTTGTTTAACCCCGATTCACCTTTTCATATGTGCCTATTTATTTTGTGGTGGGTTTTGGTATGATTTGTGAATCACTTGATGTTCATATTTATATTTCTACACCTTTGGGGGATTTTGTGATTGTTGATAGAGTCTATTATTTTTGTATGGCGACTTTTATGGGGTATAAAATCTTGAAAGACTTGGTGATCTTTGACATGGTTGATTTTGATGTCATTTTGGGGATGATTTGGTTGTCTTCATACAATGTTATTTTTGACGATCATGCCAAGATAGTTTTCATATCGGGATGTCTGGGCTTGAGTGGAAGGGTAATTGTAGTTCTACTCCTAAAAAAATCGTATCTTTTATTTTTGCCAAAAGACATTAGAAGTGTTTGTAACCACATATGAAAATTTATTCCAGAAGAGTGTAAAAAGGAATCCTATTTATGAAGTATCATTTATATTATGAGAACAAGGTGAGAAGCCCAAAAGAAATGTTGAGCGGCCCAAGATAGTTTGTAAAAACGGGTCAGTCCAGTCCCACCCAGCCGAAGCCACGTGGTTGGCATTTGGAAGGCAAAGTCTTCTTTTACTTTGTTTACTCCGACAAAGTTCTTAGAGCGTTACGCCATTCATCTTCTTTACTACTGAATCACTGTTTCTTCAACGCTCTCAATTGTTCATCGTCATCTTTATCATGTCAACAAAGGCGAAGCTACAAATATAACTACATTTATCCATCTCCAACTTCAATTTCTCTTAAAGGTAAACAAACAATTACTCTTTGTCTTTCACTAGGAAATAAAATCAAAAGCGTCATTTTAGTATCTTCTTTCTCATTTGGAAGATCATTTAAACGAATAATTTTTTTTGCAAGACTTTTCAATGGAGAATCTACCAGAGTCACCATTTTCTGAATCAACATTGGGATCATCGTCATCATCGCCATCACAGAAAAATCCTAATGACTTGGGTGCTCTCAATCCAAATCAGTTGGTGCTATTGATCCATGATGCTAGTCTTCGTGAAGAGGTCATGCATCACCTCTACGAGGTATATGGCACGTTTAATTTTTAAAATACTTTTTATTATATGATCTATTTTATGTAAGTGTTAATTTTTGTATATATGTTTGTTATGTACTGTTGTTTTCTACTTGATAGTCGTTCGATGGGTGAGATAGAGAGGCAAAAAAGTTCATCGATCGTTGATTTTTTTTTCGTGATGTTTTTTAATTGGACATTAGATTTCACAATGAATGAACTTTTGTTAGTGGTCTTTATAGAAATTATGATGATATGATTAGTTTCTCTTTCTATATTTTAAGAAAATGTGTCATATTTACCCACAATGGGCATGATGTAGAATTCAACATGACCCAATTTAACATTTTATTTGAAAATCAAATTTTGACAGAGACGTTGCACGTGTATAACTCGATGTTGATTAGTGCAAATTTCTTTAAACATTAGAAATAATATTTGTTGAATAACTGTGTCATGAATTGGACAAAATCGATCAAAGGGAAGGATGCATTCTCAAATTTATGAATAGTACAATCAATCGATATTTATTATCGTTATAAAGCACAATCACACCACAAATTTCATTCAAATGAAGTTTAAATGATCCCCTTCATTCTTCTCTCATTTAAGAAAAAGTAATTCTTATTTATTGAATTATAATAAAAATATACACCATATTTTTAGAAAAAAATAATGTAATGAATGTTTTCTTGTTTCAAGATCATGCAAAATGTATGTACTAATTGAAAGTCAACAAATCTATCTATCTATCGCAAATTGTAATGGAATTACATTTATTAGACTAGTATTTGTTTTGTCTAGATGTATTTTATGATGAGTTAGAAAGGGTTGATACTATTTTCAAGTTCTTATTAATTAGTGCTAATTTGGTTCAGCATTTTACTTAATTTATTTTTATTTTTTATTTTATTTTTTTTATACTAAAAACATATTATTAATATAGTTTAGCCAAACAGCCTACATATTATAAAACTAATATTGAAAAACATAAATATATTGGGAAAAAATCATTCCATAAATAAAATTTTCTAAATGACTACATTGCAGATGCTATTTTGTTTCCTTAATTTATTTATTAATCCTATGCTTTACCAATTTTAATTATACATTTAATTTGTTTTCAACTTACATATAATTCATCCACTTTGAATCTGTTCGGATTAGAGGTTTAAAAGTAATTGATAAGCATCGAGTATTGAGTTTGGTCCTCGCTAAACTTGTGATAAAACATGTGCCCAACATGAGAAGCCCGAAAAAATGTGGGAGGCTCACGATAGTTAGCATATCAGTGTCTGAAACAGACAAAAAGACTTTAACTGTTTTATTATTAGGTTATCGGTTCTTAAAGGCTGATTTTTTTTAACAGGTTAACCGATAACCAATAACCTCATAGAAAGTCACTTGATCTTCTTTTAGAACCTCAAAATCACTCAACTAAGGATTCTTCTCATTGAAAGTCACTCAATTTTCTTTTATAACCTCAAAATCACTGAACTACGGATATAAAAGAAAGTTGACTTTCTCATAAAAAAAACTTAATTGAGTGACAATTTTAGAAATATTCTAATCTAACTACTGATTTGTGTTAGATTGACCTCAGAACCAAATTTTATTCGAGAGGAAGTGCACAAATAACCAATTTGAGGACCTTTTTTTTTATATAAAAAAAACACTTCTGAACTTATAAGTTAAGCACAAATTGTTGCTCTAATATCATCAAAATTAATTTTCATGCTAATTAGTTAAACATAAATTGCTACTCTTCAAAAGTACTGATAAGCATTTCTGACAAACAACACTTTTCATTTTAAACGTCTGGCAAAACAAATTTTAGTCCTTTTTTAATCTTCTAAAAGTGCTAGTAGTTGTCATATTCTGAGTTGGTGACTTTTGTTATATATTTCAGAAGAAAGATTCATGCAAAAATCTAGCTCTGCTGCTGTGGAACAACTTCAATACAGTTTACATGCTTTTGCTGGTATACCTCTTTTTAAGTTTTGCGGTTTTATATTCTGTTGGATAATCTTAAATTGAAATTTTAGAGACCTCCTGTTTAAAAGTTTAAGATGTTACAGAGAGAACATTTTTGATACCATACATGTTAAATTATGTGAAATCTAATCGGAAACATATCAAACGCTCGCATTTTGATGTGCAAGAAGTTGTCAATGCGCGCGTAATAATATTTGTTTTATGAATTTCAGGAAGTCACATCAGAGTATAGGAAGTTTTCACCCTCAATGCTATCTATGAAGGAAGCAACTCGAGTTTGTTGTGCTCTTGCTTTGTTTCAGGTCAGTAATATACCATCAAAATAGTGTGTTATAATTTATACTATTGAAGTAACAAAAAAGTCAGAATGATTGAGAAAGAGAGTTAATATCTCAAAAGATCACTCAACTTTGAGAATTTATTTAGTAAAGTCGTTGAACTTTGTTTTATATCAGTAAAATCACTGAACTTATGCTTTTGTATCAATAAAATCGTTCAACTAAAATTATTATTCCTTTATAAATATATAAAATTATTTTTGTTGATCCACATGTAATTAGATTCAAATTCATTCATAATTCTACCCATTAACCCAATTAAAAACCCACACTTCTTCAACAATAGCCAAAATCAAATTCTAATTTGTCCCGTTATTCCTCTTCCATATTATCTACACGATTTTTTTCCACTTCCACACAGATTTCCCCTCTACTGTTACACATAAATTCACATCCATATTTTATTCAGCTTCAGATTTTATTGAAGATTGTAAATTTTTCAGTAATAAAACCTAAAATTTTGAAATATAAATTGATGGTTCTTGAATTTTTAGTATAGATAACTGTCAGTCTGTCTATGATGATAACGGGTTATGCAACATGTTTTCGTTATTGTTCGTGTCACTTCGAAACGGGTCGTCTATATTGCCAGCTTAATCATGCAAAAATTTCTGCAATTGGGACTTCTTCAGCAATAACTAAAACCACACTCAAAATGCACATGCATGGAGATTGCAGGAAGATGAAGAAGTGTTGGGCGTTTTTTAATTGGGTTCAATGGATAGAATTGTGAATGTTTGAGTCTAATTGACACGTAAATACAATAAAATAATTTTATAAGTTTTAATTAATGATAAATTTTAGTACAGTGATTTTATTGATACATAAACATAAGTTCAGTGATTTTATTGATACAAAAACATAAGTTCAGTGATTTTAGTGAAAACAAAACAAAGTTCAATGACTTTACCAGATAAAATTCTCTAAGTTGAGTGATCTTTTGAGATATTAACTCTTGAGAAAGAGAACCAACTGATTTCATTCGTTCTAAATAGCCACGAGATGATCAATGCACTAGTAAATTACGCAAGACTTGTTACATGTAAGAAGTAATGTATGCATAACTAATGCAAGCATTACTAATTATACACTTTATTGAACATTATTTTTATACACTCTACCAAACGATTCCTAAATGTTTTTCAAATCAATGTTTTTTCCTCAAATTTAAGAAAAATGACTTACATCCAAAAATTAAAGAAAACATTTTTTCAACCTCACACCTCAACTTTCCACCCTAACTCAAGCCTTGGGTACTGAATTCTGATATAATTTGAAATATGACTCCTAATTCTCGATTCGATACCTGACTCTCGACCTTGATTTGAGATCCAACTCTGTGGTCTCGGAATGGGGTCGGCGTCAAATCCCAATTTGGGTGTCGGGTCCTCAATCACGATTCGAGATTGGGTATTAGAGTCGAGTCAAGCTAAGTTAGGGTGGGATCCATAGTCGGGTGTCGGAGTTGGATCTTAGGTCGAGAGTCGAGGTTGGGTTTCAGATCGATCGTCGAGGTCAGATGTCGATTTGGAAGTTGGGTAATGGATCATGTGTCGATATCAAATCCCAGTTCGGATGTTGGATCCTGAGTTGGAAGTCGAGATCAAGTCTTGATTTGAAAGTCGATCCAGAGTCGGGTCGTGTTTCAGGGTCAGATCCTAATTTGGGTGTCTAGTCTCGAATCAGGATTCGAGATCAAATTTGGGTTGGGTGTCGGGGTTGAGTTCCAGCCAAGTGTCGAGATGGGATCCTGAATCGGGTGTCGGAGTTGGGTTTCAAGTTTGAGAGTCGAGGTCGGGTCTCGAATCGATTGTTGTGGTCATATGTTGGGGTCGGATGTTGATTTGGAAGTTGGGTTCCGGATCAGGTATCAGGATCATCAGGTCCAGGTTCGGAATTCAAGTCTCGATTCAGGATCATGTACCGGTTTGGAATTCGATCTAGTGTCCGAAGTCGCGATCGGATCCCGAATCGATCACCGGGGTCTTGTCCAGGTTCGAGTGTTGGATTGGGTTCTAGGTCGGGAGTTGAGCTCAGGTCCTCGGTTGCATGTCGAGTTTGGATCCCGAATCGATTGTTAGGATTGTGTCTCAATTTGGATGTTGAAGTTGGTTCTGGATCAAATATCTGGTTTGATTTACGGGTCAATTTCTATTTTACTAAAAAGTACTTTCTACACTCTGACAAAAAAAACAAAAGATCTTTTTTGAAAAAGATTTTTCAAACGCCAACCAAACACTAGAAATTAAAATACTTCCCAAAAAATATTTTCCACTCACCAACCAAACATGAGAAATAAGTTAAAAATCAACTTGTTTTCCAAGAAAACATCTTCTAGGAAATATTTTCCATTCATACCAAACACACGTACCTGAGTATTTTTTGTTTTTTTTTTAACTTTTGTGGTATAATGTTCTTCATATTTACCTTCCTGTGACACATTTTCTTAGAAAGAGTAAAAGAGTTGTAATGCAATTTTTGTGTAAGACAACCGATAAGTGTGTGCACAACATATAATTTTTATGGTTATATTCTTCAGGTTTTGGCTAATAACCCAGAAACAAGAAGGGGCCTCATAAAAGGTAACGTCAGTTCTTGAAATGACACCAATTGAAATGAAATTAACGCGCGAAACTAATCGTTAGAGTGAATCAAGTTTCTGTAAGAATTTTTTTTACTGTAGTGTAAGAAACAGTTAACTTTTCTAGTAATTTCATTTTGCAGCTAAAATACCATGTTATTTCTATCCATTTCTCAAGCCTTGTGAGGATCATGATGAGCCTTTGGAGCATGTGAGGATCACTACCTTTGGGTGTTCTCGGTGACCTGACAAAGGTATCCGTCCATTTTGAACAGATATACACACGCGTTCTCCATTTGTGGAAGTGCTACTTCATGATTCTGATATTTTGCTTGCTGGTGCAGTTTGATGATCCATATGGATCACATGCCCTTCATTTCTTCTTGGAATCGGAAGTGGTTCCTTTGTGCCTGAAGTGCATGGATGTATGTGACGAAATGTCACGGAAGGTTAGTCCATTCTGTTTTATTAATAGTGTTTCTGAATTACTTCGCCGGTTTATGATGATATTCTGTTTCTTGGATCTCATATGAAATGAATGTTGTACCTCCACAGGTTGCAACTCTCATAGTTATGAATATTCTGACGCAAGAGAGGGGACTGACCTATTGTTGTGCTACACCTGAACGCTTCTTCGCAATAGTACAAGTCTTGAGACGAGTAGTTGAGAAACTTTCTCCAAAACCTTGTTTGCTGCATCTAGAATATGTGATACAGTGTTATGTATGTCTGTCAAAAATATTTAGGTCCATCGGGTAAACATTCTCGTCCCTGCTGCTCAAGTTTCATGATTGCGATTTCTCTGTAAGTATCAACTATATCTCTCTTGGATTTATTGTTTGATCAACCTTCACAATGCAGGCCATGTGATGCATTCGTAAGACAAATTCCTCCTCAGCTATTTGACAACACCTTTAGGCGCACTCTTCTTGTGAGTTTCATCTGCTCTCATTTACTGTTACAAAAACTAGTCTTGTTACTGTAGTGTTACAAAAAGTTAGTTACTTTACTCTTACAAAAAAAATTGTGACTTTAGTGTTGCAAAGAGTAAGTTTAGTACTGACCATCGATAAATCTCTTTTGTATCAATAAAAAAACATAGATCTTTTCAACTACTGTTACAGATTAATGTGTATAATTGTAAACTTTTGTATGTCTTTGCAGCATGACCACGAAGCTTCGTGGATGTTGCAGGTGCTACATCTCAATATTTATGGATGTCTATATTTTCCGCCAATTGAAGAGAGAAAAAAGATTGCAAAGAAGGCTGCATCAAGTTCTGCATCAAGTTCAAAGGGTAAGGGAAAGGGAAAGAAGTGAACTTGTTCTGTAGGAAAAGACAGCAAATAATGACCTCGGTAGAGGGAAGAATATTTTAAGTTAACTGTTCAACTGTGAAAAGCTTGAGAACTTCTTGAGCCTCGTTAAGACTGATACTTTTGCTTTGTTGTGTACTGAATGGTAGCTTTGTTCAGCTGAAATGAAGTTATCTTATTAGCAGTTTCCTGTATTGCAACTTTGTCAATGTCTTTCTTTCACGACATATTTATGCTTTATTTGAGCCGAGGGTCTATTGGAAACAACCTTTCTACCTTCACAGGGATAAGATTTGTGTACGCACCATCTATTGTGAACCAAATTGACTCCGTAAGAGCCTATGGGTTATTAGAGGCTTTTATTTGGGATCCAGGCTCAATAACCATTTGTTAAAAAAGGACTAGGAGATAGAAGAACGGTTATGAAAATTATGTCGAAGCTTTTGCTGTCAATTATCTCTCATCCCCTTTCTCTGTTCTAGTATCTCATCCCCTTCTAGTTACCTTCTTCTATGTTAATATATCTGTAATTAGTATGTTATTACTTTGTTGCGTGTATTATACGTTGTAATTTGTATTCAGCCATAACTATATATATCAGTGTTTGTATTGGAAATCGGCTTTGTTTCATTGGTGCTTTCATTCAGAGGTCTTCAATGGAGGACCAAATAGTTCGAACAATTAAAGATTCAATTAAGGTCATGAAGTACACTTGGTCGAAGGATCTCGCGGATATTCGTTCAATATTACACGAGTTGGTTGGAAACCTTCCGACGAGTAAACCTAGCACAATAGAATTTCAACGATTCTGTGGTGAGAATCCAGAGTTATGGATTTTCCAGGCTGAACAGTACTTTGACTTCTATGAAATTGCAGAAAACCACAAGTTATCTCTCGCCTTGTCTTATCTTGACTAATGGCTTTTCCAGAACAAACAATTGGTAGATTGGAAACACTTCGCTGCAAAAGTGTTAATTCGCTTCCGCAAAGGACATCTCAAATCACAGGAAGGTCGTTTGGCCAATCTCTGGCAGGTACCCACTGTGACTAAGTACCCAAGTCCTTTTGAAGCTATTTTTCCAGGTTTCAGTGAGCCAGATATACTTTCACCATGTCTTGCACATGTGCATCCACAAAGGAGCGATATATCCAACTCGTTGTAGCCTCAGAACTTTGATGAGAAATCTGAATACCCGACCAAAACTGATGCGCACAAGATGTACGACAAAATGTTAAATAACTGCCCCAAGGTATTCACCTTGGCGCCATTAGATGATCAAATTGAAATGTCTGATGAAGATGATATAGATCTTGACATCAGCGAAATCCAACAGTTTCATGGAAGTCCCCAAAGAGATATGTCAGAGAGGTATGTTACATCAATTTCTTTGGATTCTGGCTCTCCGAAACAACAAATTGAATTTGCGTCCTTTGAAGACATGTATCTTCTTGAATTTTTCTCGGAGCATGAGACTAAGTCATTACTTTTGTTGGGATCTATTGACACGTTTTGCTTCATCGCGTATGTTAATTATATGACTCAAGTGTGGGATCCAGGACGACGATGGTGTATGCATTTTTCCATTTTGCTCTTTAATCTTCCAGGGACAGTTGTTGCTTCTTTGCAATTTAATTACAATTACACCCACTTGGAAATGAACACTCGGAATAAGGATTGGGAGAAGAACTCCAGGGGACTGTTTGCTTTCCGTTCTCAATGCATGATTTGAAATTTGATGCAAGTTTGGAGAGCAGAAGAATGACACATCCTACAATAAGTCTTGCTAGCTTCGTACAATCATTGCGGTCATTAACTGATTTTCCTACTTCTCTCGCTGAAGATGGTTCCTCACCAATGATGCATAATTATTGGACTTGCTATTTTACCAGGCCATTAACTGACTTTTTTACTGATTCATTAATCAGTTCTCCATATCATAAAGTTGGAAAATTTCACAGAGAAGGAATTGCACTAGTTTATCCCTGTGTCGTAGCCAGACAAACAGAGAAAATTTCTAGAGGTCAAATTGCTTTTGAAATGATTTGTCTTTGATCCTGGAGGAGGTACTTTTGATGTACCAATTCTTGAAGACATGGATGGTGTCCTTTTGGAAATCTCTAAAGCAATAACTAATCTATCTATATGCAACATGCCTCTCTCTGCCGACAAACGTGATCTTCATCAATTGACATTAAAAGTGCTCATCAATTTGATATCAATTCTATTGTTTTGGCATTTTTCCACGGCTAACCCTTTGGATGGACAAAATAGAGAGATGTTCAACACAATTGCACAAGCACAGAGATTGAAGTGCGACGAGAAGTTTGCAATTTTATGTTCACGCAAAGTGGCTAACTGCGGTTGAATTGGTGAGATTAGTTTCAATTGCTACTGCTGCTTTAACTAACAGTGGCCTTAAAAGCATTGAAGAGCAACCGGTGGAACATGAAGGCCTGACCACTGATGTAATTACAGGTGTGGCTTGTGTTATTCATCTTGGTAATTTAGAATTTGCAAAGGGCACTGGAGTTGATTTATCAGTACTTAAGGTTAGCAACTCTTGGTTTCACTCTAACACTAAAACAGTAGCTCTCGACTCACCTTCAAGCCTGAACAGATTTACTATTGTAATGTCATGATGGCTCCACTCGAACCTTGAGGACAAGGTTCATTTTGAGGGCGGGAGTATTGTTGTGAACCAAGCTGACTCCGTAAGGGCCTATGGGCTATTAGAGGCTTTTATTCGGGATCCAGGCCCAATAACCATTTGTTAAAAAGGACTGGGAGTTAGAAGAACGGTTATGAAAATTATGTCAAAGCTTTTGCTGTCAATTATCTCTCATCCCCTTTCTCTGTTCTAGTATCTCATCCCCTTCTAGTTACCTTCTTCTATGTTAATATATTTGTAATTAGTATGTTATTACTTTGTTGCGTGTATTATACGTTGTAATTTGTATTCAGCCATAACTATATATATCAGTGTTTGTATTGAAAATCGGGTTTGTTTCATCATCCTCCTCAGATCCCATTTGTGGGATTAAATTTGGTACGTTGTTGTTGTTATTGTATGTTGCATGCATCTAAGCTTCATTAAAAAATACTTGTTCAGTTATATGTACTACAAGAGGCTGCTGCCATTGTGGTCATATATAACTCACGATAGAGATGTGTTAGAGAAGGCTTTCGGGCTAGGAAATGAGAAGCAGCCATATCCAGGGCTAGAGCTCAAGTTGCTGATTAGGTATGAGACAGATCAGAGCCTCTCGCTCCTGAAATAGCGGCAGAGGAGACAGAGGCACCAGTTTAGGAGAATGTTGCACCCCTTCTGACTTTGTTAGATATGTTAAATTAGGTGATAATCTACACTTACAATTCCCACAAGGCAGTATCCAAGAGTTTAGGTGGATATATATTATATTTATATTTATTTATTTTTATTACTTTATCTTTCCCTTTGTTTTTATTCAGTTACTTAGGTTTGAGAATTACTCCATTAAGATGTTTCATGTTTTTGATTTGAAGAAGATCGAGGAGGAAGTTGTGTTAATTGCAAGAATGTATGACTAGCTAATTTCTTTGATTTTATCTAATAATAATATTTGATTACTCGCTTGAAGTAGGAATCACAATATATATGTTGATTTCGGTTCATTTGTGGAATTGGTTTTTAAATAGGAAAAACTTCAGAATATGGCAAACATCCATATATATTCAAGAAAAATAGCTACGTTTTATTTTTTTCATGTTATATGGATATAATTAGACTATAAATAGCAAAGTTAATTATATACAAATAAATAAATAAATATTATATGTTTAATATAATAAATAAATATTAAATAGGAAAGTAATTATTGAATGCCTAATTAATTATGGCAGGCATATTTGTGATCTTTTCTCATGTTTACCATAATCAGGATTTTCTCTTTCATCAATATTCATACATCACATATTTTCTGATTTTTTCCCCCCAAATTCATTCAAATTCAAGATCCTTTACATCACTGCAGGAACGATTTTTGTGATTTTGTATCCATCAGGTATCTTCTAATTGCATATTTATCTCATTTTTATGAGCATTATATATCTACACATCTACACTTTCTTCTATTTTCATAGGGTTTTGATTCAAGAATTTGTTTATCCATTTCAATGGCTGAAATTGATACTCCGAGGAGGGTTACTAGAGGTATACATTTATTTGACAAATTGTTGGATGAACTACCTTCTTTTGATTTGTGTATTACTCAACAACAAGCCAAAAATTCAGGCTCTATTGCTGCAATGGAGAACAAAAGAAGAACAAAAAAGACTAATGACCAACAACAACAACAACAACAACAACAACATACCCAGTGAAATCCCACTAGGTGGGGTCTGGGGAGGGTGGAGTGTACGCAGACCTTGCCACTACCTCGTAGAGGTAGAGAGGCTGTTTCCGAGAGACCCTCAGCTCAAGTACATCAAAACCAAGTAACAGGCGAGGAAAACATTGTGTAAAACATCACATCCAATAAGAAAGATAGTTATAATCAACATGGGGACAGCAACATCAATAAAACAGTGAGAGAAGTGAAACGCAATAAAACCAGAAGGCTATATGTAACACAAACCAGAACTGCAAGTGTAAGGTAAGGACTACTACAAACGCTAACAACCCAAACTCTCGCAAGGGAGGACAACACTTTAGCCCTACTAACCTACAACCTTAATACGTGACCTCCACGCTTTCCTATCTAGAGTCATGTCTTCGGTAATGCGAAGCTGAGCCAAGTCCTGTCTAATCACCTCTCCCAATACTCTTAGGCCTACCTCTACCCCTCCGCGTACCCTCTACTACCAGCCCCTCACACCTCCTCACTGGTGCGTCTGCGCACCGTCTCCTCACATGTCCAAACCATCTCAGTCTCGCTTCTCTCAGCTTGTCCACCACAGAGGCCACTCCCACCTTCTCCCAGATAACTTCATTCCTAATCTTATCACTCCTGGTGTGCCCACACATCCATCTCAACATCCTCATCTCCGCAACATGCATTTTCTGGACATGTGAGTTCTTGACTGGCCAACACTCCGCTCCATACAACAAGGCCGGTCTAACTACCACTCTGTAAAACTTACCTTTAAGTCTAGGAGGAATTTTCTTATCACACAAGACTCCAGAGGCAAGCCTCCATTTCATCCAAGCG